CTTTGCAAAAGACTGCTCATATTATTATAATTGAAATGTGTTTTCTGTTCCGACTGTCTATTTTCATCAGTGCTCAGTGCCTGATTCAGATCGTCCATCAGATCCCACCCCGCCACCACAATGTTCAAATCAGCTGCCATCTACACCCCTAAGGTTAGCAGCAATGGATCTCCACCCGCAACTGTTTGTGGCTACGGTGGTGAGGTCTAACAACATCTGCCACCTAACACCCGAATGATACTTCGAGGAGGATACGTCTCATCCTTTGGATCTGCATCACCTACACCAGAGCTATTCAACTGGCGGCCCGCCAAGGCCCAGCAAGTGGCCCGCAAATCACTTCTAGCTGTATTGTATTTTAAATCTTTCCATGCTGAGGCTGGGGCCTCTGGCTCTTGACGATTCCCCTTTTTGAACATTTTGCCCCTGAGCCAACTCAGTTGAATAGCCCTGACCTACACCAACCCACTGATATTTATACAGTCAAGTCTGGATAAGTAGAAGTCGTAGGGACCTAAGAAAATGCTTCCACTTATCAGGATTTCTACTTATCCAGAAAACATACACATCAGAGAAAATTGCTGGGACTAAGCTGGTCATGTCGACTTAATAGAAATTCGGCTTATCCGAGTTCGATTTAAGTGGACTCAACTGTATACTTATAGCAAGAAGCCATTTCTTGAGGCCTTGAAGATGTGCCCTTACAGAAGAATCCTTATAATTCCTCGGACAACAAAGAAGAGCAACCATGATGTTTTGAAAGAGTTGAGGGCTCAAAGACAACTGTTCCCAAACATCAGAGACAGTCTTCATTTGTTTGGTCATGTTATGAGAAGAAGAAATCTCAATCATATTGTGACCACTGGAAAGATCTGTGGGGAAAAAGTGATAGAAGAAGACAATGTGAAACAATTCTTGACCACCTTTTATCAGGGCATGGAGGTATCAGCTCATACAACACGCTGTTGAAGATGGTAGACTAGGTTCAGGAGGAATGACTAACTAGCTTCATTTTCACGGCTTGTTTAGGAGCATCACTTTCTGGGATGGAGAGGGCTGCATGGTCTCGAGGCATGGTGTCCGCCTCGAATGCTAGAGGTTCCGGGTTCAATCCCCAGTAAGGGCTTGGATTTTTCACTTGGACTTAAACTTCTAGTAATTCCCCCTGCTCTCTGGGTAGTGAGATCGGACGCCCGTGTGCATCGTTGTGCACATTAAAAAATCCCTTGGCAGGTGGAAATCGAAAAGAGTAGCTTAACAGTACTGCCTGGGCAAAATTTGGCGTTTAAAATCTTGATCTTGGTCTACCTCGTGCTCTATGTCCATCTCTTTTGGTGTATGCACATGATGGTGAGCTGGCAGCAATACATCTCACTAGCAACATCCATTATGGTCACAATGAAGCAGCCTAACATCATCAGCCCACTACTTTTGATCTGCAGTATCAGTGACATCTGTCAGTCAGTTTTGACTATCTTCCTCTTTTACTGCACACGGTGCGGAGGGAGATATAGGGTTCTGTTTCTCACTCTTCTGGCCGCCACAACCACAGACACATTGTGCTGCTGTAAAGTTTCTCTGATGTTTTCTTTCCATCTTGATCTTGGTCTACCTCGTGCTCTATGTCCATCTCTTTTGGTGTATGCCTTGTATGGTAAGGCATCACAAGGTATTTTCTTAAAGCGGGCAAAGGATTTGATTTGCTGTCTTTGTATGTAATTTACAACCAGCTCTGTATCTACAAAATCTGGGCAGTCTTAAAGGATGTGTGCTCAAGTGTTTGACAAGTCCACAGGTTTCAGGAGCAGAGCCTTGTAGGCCTCTTCAATGAAGGCGTGTTCTGAATCCACAGTGTTCTGTTCTGAATCCACAGTATTCTGTTCTGAATCCACAGTATTCTGTTCTGAATCCAGTTTCTCCTCTTTATCCCCCAAGGGAGCTTGGGTTCTCAACCAACTCACTCCAAGCCTTTTTATACTTGTTTATTGGTTCTGAGCCTAAAATCTACCCATTTCCACCTTAAAATGAATCCACTCAACTACGAATAAGAAGCTTAGCGCAGGTGAGAAAGAAAACAAAAACACACATGGGAAGAAATCTACTTTGTGACTGCAACCTTACCGACCCTTGTGGTTTTTGCAAATACTAGCTTGACTGAAGTCGTTCCTGTTTTCAAAAGTATCATCACTTCCACCTTATATATTTATGCTATTACTGTGTACATATTTTTCTGTCTCCAGTTTTTTGGAACTACATCGGCCATGCACTCACAATGGATAAGACAAGACCCACCCCCTTACCCCCATTTAAGACACAGGAAGGAAACAAAAAACGCGAAAGACCAAGATAGACTCCGCGTGGAACCATCATCAAGGAAGGCTCAACCATGGGCCTAATAAACATCCAAGACCTAAAACAGTTGGCAACAAACCACCAGACATGGAAAGCTATGAACTCTATTCACCACCCTAGGTTCAGGAGGAATGACTAACTAGCTTCATTTTCACGGCTTGTTTAGGAGCATCACTTTCTGGCATGGAGGGGGCTGCATGGTCTCGAGGCATGGTGTCCGCCTCGAATGCTAGAGGTTCCGGGTTCAATCCCCAGTAAGGGCTTGGATTTTTTCACTTGGACTTAAACTTCTAGTAATTCCCCCTGCTCTCTGGGTAGTGAGATCGGACGCCTGTGTGCATCGTTGTGCACATAAAAAAATCCCTTGGCAGGTGGAAATCGAAAAGAGTAGCCTAACATTACTGCCTGGGCAAAAGTTGGTATTAAAAATCTACCCAAAGAATTTCAGAATCCACGCCGGTGCTACAGAGCCTGTGTACTGTGCCGAGCTTCTTTGGACTCATACTTGAGTTAGAAGAAGAAGAATGGAGCACTTATGGGTTACTACCCGTGTGCCATGATGTTGATCCATTGTTCAAACTCCAAACTTTCTGGTGTGGATGAAGCTGCATAAGGTTCCTTTCAGTCTCTGCAAGCTCAGCAAGTATGCCAGTCAGCATGACATATGAAGAAGAGTAAATCCATCCACTGGAGACTCAATCTGCATGACCACGGTTTCCCTTTGATTAACTGACCAGGATTTCCCTTTGATTAACTGACCAGGGTTTCCCTTTGATAAACTGACCAGGGTTTCCCTTTGATTAACTGACCAGGGTTTCCCTTTGATTAACTGACCAGGGTTTCCCTTTGATTAACTGACCAGGGTTTCCCTTTGATTAACTATCTCCTCCAGCTTGTATTTCAACACCTGACAACTGCTCTTGCTCTTCTTTGATTGTCTCCTCTTTTATAACTATGCTCTGCTCTGGATCACTGGGATCGGATACAATCATCTGACTGCTGTAGCTCTCCAAGCCGGAGTTCATGAACTGGCTGCCCACACATTCAGAGTTCAAAATTTGACCTTCACTGTCAATGGTGATCAACTGATCTGAATCACCTGCAGTGATGACTTGTGACTGCCCATTGTGGGTCAGAATCTGAGTGTGACCATTTGAGGTCATAAGTTGCATCTGACCATCGGCTGTGATGATGAACTGTCTGGGTTCATCTTGTCCCTCAGAAGAAATCAACTCGGTCTGCTCCTGGGAGTCAGCAGATGCCAGCTGGATCTCCATGTTCTGGCCATCATCATTCAGTATGCCACCTTCAGACTGCTGCAGAAGACAATATGAGACAACTAAGTTTAAAAGGCTAAAAATGTCTTTTTGTAGCATATAAAACTTGATTGATGCATTCATTGCCAATTACTGCCTTTGTGATTCCACTTTTGTGGTGTAGGCAGGGGGGTCTTTGAACCTCAGGCTGTTAAGATGCACTCATTAAATTCTCAAATACAAAGGGTCACACAAACATGACGTTAATGTGTAAAAGCACTGGAAAAAAAACAACAGGTTAGATAGAGGAGAGACAACTTTGTGGGCAAATTTTCAAGGGAAAAGTGACAAATTAGGGGCGTTTCCTTTCAAGTCTGAGTGTGTAAGCCTGACAGGAGGGAAGGTTAGTAGGTAGGTATTTGTACCCCACCAGGACATCACACAAGCAATAAACACCCGGTGACACAAAGTGCCACCATGCGGATGAAGATAGCCCTGGGAGAGGTCCCAGAAACCCCCTTTAGCCGTTTTGTCATATCTAAGGCCTAGGCTTATTTATGGCATGGCTATATTCAGGGCCCCTGGCAGAAGCCAGGGTGGGGCTTCAAATAAAAAAAAATTGCATCCCACATGGCGATAACTTAAAAAATTTTTTTTTTTATAGACAGGGTAGGAGCCATCAGTCTGCATGTGAATTAGCCAAATGTTTACAATTTATGTACACACAAAACTCAAGTTCTGGAACAAGACTAAAGTCCAGAAAAGGACAGACAACTAGAATTGTCTGCCAGTGAACATAAGGAAGAGCAACAAGAAGAAGAAAATATATTCATCTGAAGCTTTTATCAGAGACTAAGTAGAATAATGCTGTAACCTACCACATATGGCATAGGAGGTTACTGAAGACTACCGTATCTCATAAAAAAGCTTTAGCTGCACTTGCTGCTAAAGATAAGGATTGAGTCCTTATGAGAATGCCCTGAGTGCTATGAAGTCAGTTCATAATTCATAAAAAGCTTTAGCTGCAAAAGCCAGTCGTTCTTTAGCTGTAAAAGCCAGTCGTTTATGACCAAGTTTCTAAATGAAAACAGAACTGATTAGCCAATCAGAATGGGGAAGACTCTTCTGGAAGAAATATGAAGTGAAATGGACAAAGCTGAAAGTCATCTAGATCACTGAGTGTACTCCTTTTTGCTTAGAGTGGAGAGGATATGAAGTGAATGGCACATGATGATAAAAGATAGAATGATTTAGTGCAAGTAAAGTGAGGGCCCATGCTCCGATTGAGGATAAAGAGCAAAAAAAGAAGTAGAAATAGAAAGTGACATTATATGTGAAGGTACTTCTACATGTAAAATTATGGAAGACAAATGTAACATATTTGACAGTGTGTCAAGTACTGACCACATCTCCAGGGCTGTAGTACTGTATGACATACTGACTCCCTGGCAGCAGTCCTGAAGGATCACTGGTCAACAGCAACTGTCCATCCTGATGGACAATAATGGTCTCCTGGGGAATGTTCACTGGCTGTCCATCCTCTGAAACAACTCTCACTTGACCCTCTCCCTGAAACAAAACATCGAGTCTTGGATCATATTTAATTGGGGGCCTATGTGGAATACAAGAAACAGAGGAAGAGGAGGAAAAAGAAAAGAATTAGCATGAGTTGGCTGAAGCCCTATGCTTCGCTGGTAGCAGAAGAACAACCTTGCAAAAGATGTCTGTTTTTCATCATCAAGGAGGCTAGGTATCAAGTTACACGTCACACTACCCCAGAAATCTGGTATGTGTGTGTGTGTGGGGGGGGGGGGGGATTTCATTACCATCGTCACATACAAGGTCCTGCACGGAATGTCGCTCTTATCACCATCTCAAGTTTGCCAATAGATGATTGATCATCTGCCCATCCGAAAGAAGCTTGGTCTCTTGCCAACTCACCCACCTTGTGCACTTTCCTACCTAAAGTGTCTTTTATATCCTGTACCCATCTTCATGCTGGTCAGTCCCTGCCTCTTCCCTAGTACAATACCTTCTGCTAATATTTTTTTTCCAATCCACCATGGCGCTTGATGTCACCAAAATATTTTAGTTTCTGAGACAAGATGTTGTTTACTAGTCAATCTTGGCTATCTTCCGAATAACGGTCCCAAATTATCCAGGCAGAAAATATACCCTAACAGGGCCGCAGCCACGTGTCAGCTTCCGGGGACTATACCGCCACGAGTATCCCCCACGCCGCTCATACGGTGTGGATTGGGGCTAAACTAGATGGCTGGGACTCACGAGCAAATAAAATGAAGGCAGCTGCAGGAAATGCAGTCGCTGCTGCTTATGAGTCCCAGCCATCTAGTTTAGCCCCAATCCACACTGTTCATGCGGCGTGGGAGATACTCTCGGCGGTGGCGGAAGTCGCCAGAAGTGCACAATTTAAGTTGCCGGAAGTGCGCAATCGACAAGTGACTGAGGCCCTGTTAGGGTATATTTTCTGCCTCGATATTTGGGACCATTATTCGGAAGATAGCCTCAATCTTCCTTGATGTTCAGACTTTTAGGATGTCAGTATTTCTTTTTCGTATTTGTCTATGGTAGTTCCAGAATCTTTTTATAGCACTTCAAAAGCCCCTATTTTCTACCACAAGGACAGCAAGCTGGTCCACGCCTGACAAACTTATTTGCTGCAGGAAAGATGGGAGCCAAGTAATATTAAATATTAAAAACTAAAGGCTATTAAAAAAAAAAAAGGACTGCCTTCTCTGGCGTGATACTGACCACATCAACCTATGAGTGCTTACAGGTCCATAAAAGCATGAGACTAGCATCATATGCCCCTGAAGAAGCTCAGAGGATAGTATGGAATCTTAATAAGACAAACACATATAAGGACATCACAACAAGAGATGACAGACACCCAACACAGACATAAATGAGGATGAGATCTCAAGGACAGAAGACAGGACATAACATAACCCTTGACCCGTTATGGTCGTGGAGGTGTATCAACGGAAGCACTAGCATAAAAAACCTGTCATCTTTCTCTGTCTTCCGCTTGAGGAATCAGTATATGACAATGTAGTCCTGCCCATTTCTTGATGTTGTAATTTCACGTTCTTCTTTGCCCTCCTCTTCTTCGACTACCTCCCTAATGTTCAAAGAACACTCTTTGCAATCTTTATCATGTCTCACCATGTGCCCCAACTATGCTAGCTTGCAATGTTTCACCACTGCCAAGAAAGGCTTCTGATGTCCTGCAAATTTGTATATTTTCTCTCCGACATATTTGTTAGTTATGTGTCCTAAATAACTAATTCGTAAAATGCGTCTGTAACATTTAAATTCTAAAGCATGACCC